ACTAATATAATCTGAGTTTACAACCCGCAGTAACTTAAACTCAACTTGACTACAGCGAGAGCCCGAAAGTATGCACTACTTTTAATAACTGCTACTTCACTCCAGCAGCTAGGTTGCTGTCTTTGCTAAGGCTTAGCAACTCACCAAGGTTAGTGAGCAGCTGATTGCTCGATGCAATTTCCAGCACTACTAACAGCTGTTAGAGTGAATGCACCTGATTTTTCTTATTGCGCAAGTGTGACGCCTAAAGTAACAAAATTTACGCGCCCACAAAAGACAAGGAAAGGAAAGAAGCCCTGACGCCAAAACACTGACGCTATCGCCCCCCTCTCTTGCACCACCGAATTATACCGCTTGGGAATTCCACGAACCGCCGCGCAGTAAGTCTCTGGTAGTTTTTTGAGGTCGCTGGGTACGCCGCGCCCACAGCAAACACGTTGACTTCAGTTCTTTCCACTTTCACAGGGGAAAACACAGTTCAAGCTATTGTCTACGATGGACCACGATGACATCGACCGCACTCCGTGAAAACGCAACTCGAACTGCGTGTGTATGTGTATGTGTTTGTGTGTGTGCGTGAGTGTGTGTGTGTGTGTGTGTGGTAGTGTAATGTGTATTTGGCAGCAGCAGCAACTGCAGCAACTGCAGCAACTGCAGCTGGCTGTAACACTTTGGCAGCCATGTCCATCGAATGTTGAGCGAATATTCGCTGAATGTTCTCTAAATGTTCTCTGGATGTTCTCTGGATGCTCTGTGCCACTTGTTGTAGTTGTTGCACGTTGTTAAACGCTATAATTGATACAGTGTGCTGCACCTGACACGCCAACATGACTCGCTCTGCAGGTGTGTGTGTGCAGGTGTGTGTGTGTGTGTACAGCTTAATTAGCACCTGACACATGCATACGGACGAGTGCAGCGCTGTCGACTGCGCAGTCACAGAGAACCTAACCGAACCGAAGCGAAGCGAAGCGAAGCCAAAGCGCATTTAATGACAAGTTAATTTTCCTCTATGCGTGCGTGCAGGTGTTCCCATGATTCTCTCTCTCTCTCACTCACTCTCGCTCTCTGTGTATGTGTGTGTGTGTGTGGCCCTCTTGGTATTAGAAAATCAACACACAGCAGGCAGCCGATTGACAGCCAGCTGTGGGTGAGTGTCAATTTAATGATCAAATTGAAATTAAATGAGCTGTCATTGTCGTTGACTGAAAGACTATGCGAGCTCAGGTGTGCGTGTGACTGTGTGTGTGTGTGTGGGTGTGTGTGTGTGTAACTGTGAGCTGAGTCCGCTTGGCTTGGCCTTAAATATTAGTGGCTTGTCAATGGCAGGCGGCATATGGGGCAGAACTCGAACGTTTATGGTTAAATGAATGTGATTAACAGCTCCTGTCGCTCTCCCTCCCTCTCTCTCTCTCTCTCTCACTCTCTCTCTCAGTCTCTCTTTCTATACATGGCATATATGTCCGTCAATGTCTTGTTCTGTGTTTGGTTAATTGTTATTATTGCTGTCATTACTGTCATTTTGTTGATGTATCCACTGATATCTGCCTCGCTAAGCGCTTATGCAATTTGTAATATATCCTATCCATGTATGTGTATATTTCTTCCTTTATCGACTGTAATTACGTGCCACTCATATCTCTATCTCGCTTCCGACAGACTTGCTATTTACTGCTATCTATGTTTCTTTTTTCCTTTTTTCCATTTATCAATTATCGCTCTATTTGTATCTTTCTCCGTTTAACGGTTTACTCTCTCTTTCTCTCTCTCTCCCTTTCTTTCTATTTATTATCTCTCTCTCTTTCTTTTTGTCTCTGTTTAACTGTGTACTATCTCTCTCTCTCTCTCTCTCTCTCTCTCTCTCTCTCTCTCTCTTTCCCTTTCTCTCCCTTCTATATGGTTACTATCTTTCTATTCTATCTTGTCCATTTTGCATTTTTCCGCTTCTTCCCTCTCTCTCTCTCTCTCTCGCTCCTCCTTTCTATCTATCCATCTCTATCACTATAGCTATCTCTCTCTTTCTCTTTCTCTTTCTCTTTATCTTTCCCCTTCTTTCTCTTCACTCTTCCCCACCTTTCTAGCTCTTCTCCCTCCCTTGCACATTCCCTCCCCTTCTCACTCTAGTCAACTTTCTATGCATCTCTTTCCCTCTTCTACTCGTTTTCATCAACTTCAAAGTTATATTATCAGATCCTTGAGCTTGATGAACAAAATGTTAACTAATATATTTCTTAAAGCTGAAAAGTTAATATTTCGCTTCAGCTGAATTATGCAAGAGTTTTCCGGACTTTCTGCACTATTTTCTTTTGGGCTTCGACGCTTTTTTGGCGTGTCATGCTTAAAGTTTGCACATTAATTATAGCCAACGTGCTGGCAGTTACTAGCTGCCACGCCCCGCCTGTACGGCCACGCCCCCTGGGCGAGTACATCTGTCAACTGGGCGCTGGGCGCTCGGGAGCTGAAAGCTAAGATTTTTGTTAATTTTATTCGAGTTTGCCGTATTTTAATTACGCCGGACGACAGTTACGTTTCATTTTTTTGTTTTTTTTTTTTTTCGTCGCTTTAAATGTTTCGCTGTTGCGAATTGCGAATTGCAAATTGCAATATTTATTTGATTTCATTTGCCATATAATTTATCGTTTTATTTACGGCCAGCCACACGGCAGGCAGGCATTAAATAAACACACACTTAATTGTGGCCAACAGGACAAACGTTGAGCTGGCCCTGTCACAAAAACGGCCAGCAATTAAATATGCAGATTTCAATATGCATAACTAAGTGCACATGTGTACATGTGTCACGTTCGCATGCGTCTGCGTCTGCCTCGGCGTCTGCATGCGTGCACGTACATATCGCATGGCATATCGCTTCACTGACTGCCTGCCCACCTGCCCACCTGCCCCCCACCACTGCTCGCTCAAGTCTGCCCACTGACAGCTGCCAGAAAACTTGGCAATCGCTGCAGACAAGCAGCAGAGCGAGTGTCCATAGTTATTAAAATGAATTGCATAAAGTGTGAAAGCTCTAAAAATACGATTTGATAAATGCCTCTTAAATGCACCTGCTCCGCCCAGTCTCTGTCTGAAAAGAGACTGAATGGGTTGTTGACCCACCCACTCAGTCTTCTTTCAGGCAATATGGCAATTCATTTAATTATACACACACACACACACACACATGCATACAAAGCGGAGGAGAGGTGTGTAAGTGTATAACTGCATAGCAATCGATAGTCGATAATTTCGCCTATCGCTGATCAACTTAACAGCCTCTCCACTTTATGCAAATAACTCATGAATAAATATGAAGTGAAATAAAATAAAACCGAAATTTCATATCAAAAATATGTGTATACAAATTATTTATAAAATAAAATAAAAAAAAAATAATAAAAAAATACCTGAAAAAATATATGTGCAAACAATTTTTTTTAAAAGACATTTTACTGTATAATTTTTCATTTCGACAAGAAATTTCAGGAGGAAGGATGTGAATATGCGGGGTGGGTGAATTATGGCAAAAATTGAAGTTCTATAAAATACACATGAAAAAAATAAAATTAAGTAATTAAATTTTAGAGACTCTTTCGTTAAAGACATAGAAGAAATAATTTTATTACTGATTTTCGACTTTTAATCGATAACAGCTATCGATTTTTGGAAACAAAAACGATATGCGCGGGGTTTATAAATATATCAAGTCTCTAGCTCTTATATCTTCTGACTCAGCGCGTCGACCTGATCAAGAATATATATACATATACGTTATGGCGTATGCCACGCCTCCTTTTGCATAATACAACAAAGTCATTATACTCTGATTTCACATTTTTAATGAGTTCAGGGTATGAAAGAAGTGAGGGTGAAAGATGTTACAAAGCGATATATCGCAGCAATGAATATCTATAGATATTATCGGCGATGAGATATAATAGAACTACTAATATACATTTTTATGAAAAACAAATTTATTTTTAAATATATATATCTTTTTTTGTTTTGTAACTGTTCTTTAATTAGATTTAAATATTAACATCTAACTGAATAAATTTAAATAGTTTAATTATTTTAAATAAATATGAATCATTGTTTGGGCTTTGAGCTGTATATATGATATGTTTTGTTAATCTTATTTAAAATACATTAATCCTTATTTATGCTTCAAACTATATTCATCATACTTGTTTTTCCCTACTTCTTGCGGTTCACTACTTTCATAAATTCAGGTGTTTTTTTGTTTTTTATTCATTCCTTATTCTAAATTGATGTAAAAATTTATACATATTTGATGATGTAAATTTCTTGAAGCTAATCGAACGCTTAATAATGGGGAAAAGAGTTTTGGAATAGGAAAATTGTTTGCCGTGAAATGGAGTATCTATTAATCTGTCAGGCGAAGGCAGTCGATGGAGAAGAAGAAGAAGAAGACTGTGTGCTGTCTGGCAGCAGGTAGCTAAAGCAGGCGAACGGATGAAGACGAAGACAGGCGAACAGCGATAGGCTGGGAAGGCAGTCAGTCAGTCAATCGAACAATCAATCATTCGGAATGACAGCTACATCGACTTAAGTCAAAGGAAATGCGTGCAGGCAGGCAGGCCAAGGATAGCTCCATCCACCTACCACCCTCTCTCTCTCTCTCTCACTCTCTCTCACTCTCTCTTTCGTTTTGCCTTCTTCTTTTTTTGTTGTGCTTTGCCTGCTGTGCGCACACATGCATACATTGATTTATAAGCCTGGGCCGCCAAAAATTGAATGTTATTGCTTGAATGGCCGCAATTTACTAAAAAGCCTCACCCTCGCCCCTCGCCCCTCGGCCCTCGGCCCACCCCACCCACCGCACGACGTTAAGCACCCTCGCCGTGCTGACCGTTATTTATGTGCACGTTTATTTATTAGATGGCCCCCCAGACACTTGATAAAATTAAAGGCAAATGGACGGCAATTTTGCATTCGGCATTTTGATTTTGACAGGACTCGGGAGTCCGTCCGGCCAGGACACTTACCAGAAAGTAGACGGCGAACGGCATTACGACTACGGCGACCAGCAGATCGGCAATGGCCAATGACACTATAAAATAATTCGTAACCGTCTGCAGCGATCGCTCCCGACAGACGGAGAGGATGACGAGAATGTTGCCGAAGAGCGTGAGGATCGGAAACAGGATCAGGATGAGCGCCCAATAATTGTGGTCCACTGCAAGAGAAGAGAAGAGAGAAACTATTATTAGAATACGGGGCGTGCCAAACACATGCAAATGTATGCGGGCCACGGCTCCATTTGCATGCCACAAATGTATTCGGCACAGTCGAGTGAAATGTGAGTGCATGATGCCTGATGTGTCCTGTATAATGGGTAGAGTAAAGGGTGAGAGGGGAGAGGAGAGAGGGTGCTAGAGGGCAACAGGAATTTACAAATATTTATTCTGTTATTGTGCCAACAGCAAATCGAAATTTATCGATTTTTATTTGCGATGCTAAAGTCTGAACAGGCATCATCTAAGTTCTCGTTGAAGCAGAGCTATACGAGCCTTAGGCAGTTTAAAATGTTGAAAATGCTCTGAGAACAGAAACTGAGAAGTTAAGTTAGCATAGAGACGAGAGCATTAATATCGATAATAATCGATAGTAATTGATATTTAGCTTCAGACTAAACAGCTATGCTCTTAGGAGCCGGTATCAGCTCCTTCAACAGGCAGCTTATCCACGTATACTAAATGCTTTACCATGTAACTCCATTAAATTGGAAGGAGTTGAGGGTATTCCTTTAAAAGATGTTAGATTATCGGATAAAGATCTACATTCTCAAAGAGCTTCAAATAAAATAAAGACTTTGTAGACGAATGACTCGATGAATGCCTATATAATATATATAATATATATACTATATATATAGGTCAAGTGCCTACAGAGTAGAGCTACAAATGGAGCAGGCTCAATGATTGCTAAGCAGGTAGCTTTGGGTATCGATTGCTAATTGAGATGATAAATCTAATCGGACTACGTTGATCTTTGTCGCAAGTGTTGCACTCAGTACTCACCGATTCGCAGTTCATGGCACGATTCGGATGTCAGATTCAGCGTTGCATTCGTGCAATTGGTGCGATAGTTCTCAAAGTACAGGCTGGTCAGGTTCTGGTCGAGGAGACCCGTACTGGCCGTACTGGTCGTGCCGACGACCGTTGTGCCCGAAACCGTGCTGCCATTGTAGTTGGGAAAGTAATCGTTAAAGTTCTCCAGCAGCAGCATGAAGGAGCTGCCACCGGTGCTGGCGCCAGCACCACCGTCGCTACCGATACCGCCACCGCCACCGCCACCGCCATTGCGATCTCCGGCAGCACCGGCTGCCTGGGCGCCAGCGCCACTCAGCCAGACGGCGTTCGCATCGTAGCCGGAGGCGACTGTCGTCCGATTTGTTAGCGTAGTCGCTGTGCGCTGCAGGAGCTCGCTGGTGGCATCCACTTCCGCGTCCAGGCTGCCGCCACTGAAGCCGCTCAGCACGCCGTAGTCCGCCTCGCCGTCGGCGACATTCTCGAGCGCGCTCTCCTCGGCGCTGTCAATGAGCGCGATATCCTGCGCATCCTGCGCCGACTCCCCATTCAGCTGCTGCTCCACAAAATTACGCAGCGCATAGAGTCCGCCCCCCTCGTCCTCGGCATTGCCTTCCAGATGGCTGCCTCTACTGCTGCCGCTACCGGCGCTGCTGCTGCTGCTGCTGCTGCTGCTGTTGGCATTGCTGAGGCTGGACAGCGTGCTGTTCTGTACATCGCCCATGTCCAGGGTCAGCCAGCTGAGGGACTCGTTGAAGCTGCTGACACTGCTGCTGGTGGGGCTCGACGATGTCAGCTCGCTGCTCAGGCTGAGATTGTTGCCGCCGGCGGCGGCGCCCAGCAGCCACTCGCTGATGTCATCAATCAGCGCATAGCCGGCCTCCTCGGCCGCCTGCGTCTCGTCCAGGGCGCTGGCCACCTCGTCGTACAGGGACAGATAGCTGCTGGGCGTCGAGGAGCTGCCGACGCCGCTGCCGATGCCCACGTCCGGGCTCTCGCTGTCGCTCCCACTCCCGCTCAATATCCCTAGCCCATCCTCTTCGTCGCGAGGCTCCGCCTCAGCCACGCCTTCCACATTCAGTTCAGTCGTGCGATTGTGCAAAGGGCTCAGCAACTTGCCCGCCAGCGATGTTGTTGTTGTTGTTGTTGTTGTCTTTGTTGTTGCCGCAGCTGTAGCTGTTGCTATTGCTGTCGCTGTCGCTCTGGCAATTGTTGCTCGCACGGTTGTTGCTGCTGCAGCAGCTGTCGCAGTGGCTGCTGCAACTGCTGCCGCTGTCGCTGCCGGCACGACCACCGCGACGCCGGCTGCTGAGGCAAAGGCAGCCATCATGTCGCTGCTGGCCACGCCCCGACCGCTCGCTCTGTCGCCCTAGCGGGGCTCACCTAGAAGCGTAGAGCTCGCCGCACGCTGCACGCCAACGCAAAGCTTCCGCTGCATGTTTGCCACATTCTGCAATTGGGAAATGGGAAATGTGAGCGAAGCAATTAGCATGAGACAATAAAGTATTGTAGACTAATATAATATTGGTATGAGATATATTAGCATTAATACTATATATCATATATTCAAATACTAAACTATTTATTTGAGCAAGTTTGGAAAGTCTTTAATTATGCGACTGCATTACTTTTGCTCAGCACAGCTCTCAAATAACTGTTGACCGTTTCGCTATGTTTGCAAATAAGTACATACATACACATGTAAGTGCCTTTTACTCACACTCTGAGAAATGACTCAGAGAGCAATCGATTGCATCGGTACTTTCACGAGCTCATTTTGCGATCGGTTCGTAACCGTTTTGTTGTTGTCCCGTTTCACTCTTGTTGTTCGCCAACCGCTTGATTGAGTGAAATGAAGCCAAATTCCTTGTCTATGCATTGGTATGTGTGCGGTTGTTGTCTTCGCTAAATATGCGTTAGCATTGACTTTTTGAGTTATATGCGAGCAAATGCGAACGTTAATCGTACATATCTCTCCCCAAGCGATGCTAGTTGATGTTCAACTCAAGGCGCTCAACAGAAAACACAGACGAAAAGAACTGAACTCTTTGGCTCTACGATTGAGTGATGAGAGCGTGTGGCTTTTAACAGAGTCCTGCTCAGAGTGAAAGCGAGTGAGTATGATTTTTTCTCTCGATTTCACGAACAGCATGTCAACGATAGTCTACTGTTATATGCGAGCTATGATGCTGTAAATAGATATGCATGTATGTATGTCATGCATGTCCAACTATCTCCGGTTGAACTCGCAGCTTGCTCATGTCGTCTGCTCTTTCTGTTATGTAAACTTGACTTTAATTTTAGCAATTACATATACATACAACCATAACACACATAACACATGTATGCATACGGGGTTCGTTTATTTAATAAACAACTAAAATTAATTGTAAAATATGTAATTGATTTACAAAAAAAAAAAAAAAAAACAAAAAAAAAAAAAACAAAAGAATAAAAAAAGAAGAGAAGACGAATAAGAAGAGAATGCAAGAGAGAGAGAGAGAGAGGGAGAGAGAGAGAGGAAGGAGAAAGGTTGTTGTTATTGCGCTTGATTGATCGATTGCTGTGGGCGATTTATTTTAAATATTAATAATATTGGCAGGAAACAACGTGAACACAGGTGGAGGCGCCTCCTGCTGCGCGGCACGCATGTTTAATTGCAATTGCATTTAAATCGCAGCACACTGCGAGCGAGTGAACGAGAGAGAGAGAGAGAGAGAGAGAGAGAGACAGGACAGGTGGAGTGAGTGGGAGAGAGAGAGAAAGAGAGAGAGAGAGTTCGCTTTATTTAATGCTGCCTTTTGCGCCAATGCAATTATCTATCCATCTCTGTAGTTGGCCGGCCCCCGCACGTTTAATTACCCTTTAATCAATTTATTGCCAATTATTCTACAAAAAGCGCCAACGAAAATTGTATAATTTAATTAAGTTAGCAAAAGGTTTTTATGTGTCGCGGCCCAACCATTCGAGCCAACTGAACTAACTGTCTTGGCTGCTTTCAGCTCGGTTGAGACTTGAATGGAAGCAGGAGAAGGAGAAGAGGAGGAAGATGAAGGGTGACTTCGCTACGTCCATTTGGCCTACCACTCCCACTCACCCAGCTCTCTCCCTTCTTACACTCCCCGCCTCTCTCGCCCTCTGTTTGCACCTCCACACACTTTACAATTTGCGCTTTTGTATTTGCCAATTGGCGCTGATTAAAGCCTGCTGAGGCGTTGGCCCATAATTAAGAGCTGGCTCATTGTGCTCTAATCAGGCCGAGAGCATCGAGTGAGCACCTAATGGCAACGTGTTTCCCATTTCGTCCAGCCAGCAGCTGCTCCACTTTCAGCTCTAGCCCGGGCAGCAGCCACGCCCACAGCCCTCCCCCAAACCAAGTGCATCGAATCCCAGCACTCGAAAGCAAATGAGGCGCAGTCGATTGTCCGCTGATTTAGCTGATAATTCGGAGTGATATAAATTAGCACTGGCCACTGAGGGACTTTCGGAACTGGAAGAATGGAAGTAGCAGCTGGCATTGGAAATATAACGGAAATTTGTCGTGCGAATTGCCCAAGATTTCAATTGATGCTGTGCATTGGAGTTCGCTTGTTCAGCATGAAAGACATATGCATATGTGTGCGTGAATACTAGAGTATAGTAAATATTTTATGTACATAATAAAATAAGAGAATAATCTAATTTTAATAGATTTTATTAATAAAGTGATGGAGAAACAGAAATAAAAATATTTAATAAATATTTAATATTTAATATAAAGAGAAAAAATAATCAACAAAATTGTTCGGAAAATTTTATCAAATAAAAATTTAATTTAGCTTTCATTTAAAATATTGAAACTGAACTAAAATAAGAAAATAAATAAAAAAAATAAAATAAATAAATAAAAGCCGTCATTTTCTATTTGAAAGGGGTTCAGGGTATAACAAGTAAGAAGGCTCCAGTCGAGACTGCTCGACTAGGAGATATTCTGAACCCTCCAAGCTGATATTCTAATCATTCTGCACTTCTTTTATGCACACATACATACACATGCACTTATAAGCACGCGCTCTGCTAACTGCGCAGTAAGCAGCGGCTGCGCTTGGGCTGCGCTGCAATGTGGGCAATATTATGAGAATTTATTTGTTAAATAATTTCTTTTGTAGACATACAATCTTGATGAAACTTTCAGAGCGTAATCATGTGGTAAAAATGTGTGTACATTCCAAAGCAAAAGTCGCTAGTACTTGAAATGCGTTTTTTACAAATTGGGGGCGAAGGGGCGTGGTATCCAAAATCTGTTAATTACAAAATCGATTAACTTTATATTCAACGCAAATTTGAAGTCTCCAAATCTAAAAGTGTTCAAATTAGGCTGTAAAAACCAAGTCGATTTTTCGATTATTCTCGATAAAAAAGTTATCGGATGAGTTATCGAAAAAATATGATAAATTTGTACTGCCTATGGTGTACACGAGAATGCATGCCAAATTTTAGCTCTCTAGCTCTTATAACTTCTGAGATCCTTTTGCTCATACGGACGGACGGACAGACGGACAGGGCTATATCGACTCAACTCGTCGTCCTGATCAAGAATATATATACTTTATGAGGTCTGCGATGATTCCTTCTGCCTGTTACATACTTTTCACAAAACCATTATACCCTGATTTCCCATTTTCAATAGGTTCAGGGTATAAAAATATTTAATTTTCAACACATGCTTTACTTGGGGTATCTGCTCTCTCTTTCGCATTCTTTGTCCTCTGTTTTTCTTCGTCTTTCCTTCTCCTACATTCTCTAGCATCTCTCTCTCACTCTATCTCTTTCTCTCTCTCTACTCCATTTATCTTTCCTCAACTCTGTTACTTTCCTGTCCCCCGTTTTCTTTTTCTCTCCCTCTCTCTCTCTATTGATGTATCCTTCTTTCCTCACATCTCTCATTATCCGTTCTCTCATTCTCTATCCCTTTCCGTTTTGCTCTGTCGCTTTCCGCTTTATCTCTCTGTATACATAGACCTCCTCTTACTCTCTCTCTCTCTCACTCTCTCTCTCTCTCTCTCTATCTTTATTTTTAGATCTCGTTGTCCATTTCTTCCTGTTCCGCCCAACTAATATGCCCTTCTGTTCGCTCTTCACAGAGCATATTTATATAGTTGAGAACAAACTAAGAACATATAAAAATAAAAATAAAAATCTATTCGCTTTGTTGACATTCATTTCTATCAAAAGAAAAAAAATTGTTCATTTTGTTTTTCTGTTTCGAAGTAGAATATTTTCATTTCCAATTATTGAACGACGCACAGAATGTTTGCACAGCTTGGAACGGAATCTTATACCGAGTTAGACATGCAAATGTGAATATATATATGTATATGTGTATGTAAATATGTACATTTATCTATGTATGTACATCTAGTTAATTCCAGAGCATCCGCGTGTCAAAATGTCTAGTCAAATGGGCACATAATACGATCGTAAACGCGTCGAGATGTGCGTGCCGCCTGCTGCTCGGGTGTGGAGCGCTTTTATTTGTGTCTTGTTGCGACTCACATGCAGATGCCGCAAGATAGTGCAGATGCCGTGTTGTGGCTGCCACAGAGACGTGCCACTCAAAATCCGTGCCAGCTGCCAGCTGCCAGCTGCGGGCTGCCATGGCCACGGCCACGGCCAGGAGCAGAGCTGGAGCAGGGGCCAGCGTCAGGGCCTGGTTCAAATAAAGAAATGAGCAAATTGTTGGCTCTAATGAAATTTTGGCGCAATACGCAAAAGCGAGCGAGCGAGCGAAGAAGAAGAGCGAGAGCAAATCACAAGTGGCCCAAGGAGAGGCCAAAGCGAGAGCCAACAGACCCAATACAGAGCTGCACTTGACGCTGTGTGCGTGCGTGTGTGTGTGTGTGTGTGTGTGTGTGTGTGTGTGTGTGAGTGTTTTGGTTGCCTTTTTCATTAATTACTACAGCAAATGGCAATAAGAAGTAGAAGAAGACGAATAAGTAGTAGCAGTCAAAGGAGCGAACGAAGAAGCAGGAGCAGCAAACGAAGATGAAGAGAAGGCAACAATGGCGAAAGCTCCGAACCGAGCTGAAGTCGTGTAATTAATTTCACTTTCGCTTGAGCGATGATTTTGAATATGCGACGAGCGCACGCAATCCATGCGAAAATCGACAAATACTGTGGATAACCCCGGGCGCGGCTAACTCGCGAAACTGGGCGTGGCAACCGACAAAAAGCGACCTTAGCCATGGCCAAACAACAAAGAGCAAGAGTGTCATTTCCTGTCGCTGGCACCCCATTCAAATAACCCATCCCCATCCCCATCCGCATCCGCATCCGCATCCGCATCCGCAGCTCGACATGCGACCACATAATTTAGACTGGTTTGTTGCTGGCCCGCCATTGTTCTTGTCCCTCTGCCATACTAATCAGCATTGTAGGCATACTAATGACATTATTATTATGGCTGCTGCTGCTGCTGCTGCTGCTGCTGCTGCTGCTCGGCACTCGCCCAGCCAATTGCCAAATCATATGGGCATAGACCACTCGCCCAATACTTCAGCACTCGCCCGGGCCGGCCTGGGCTGGGCTGCCTATTGAGCTCTAGTTGCTGCTTAAACAACTGCGCGGAGGTTGGTATAAACGCTTATAGATATTAAGATGTATATGCCAAGATAAAGCTACTTAGTTCTAGTTAATTGGATGTATTTGCCAGCAGAAGGGTTTGCTATTATCCTTAACTTATGGCGCTTTTGATGCTTTCAATCCTAAAGGAAACTTTCTTAGTTCAGTAGCTCATATAAGCTAGGTTTCATATGAGATTTTAATATTAGATAGATTAGATATTTACAATCCAAAGGAATCTCTCATTCCTTGCCCATCCACAGACTGAGAAATTTCCTATGCTATGCTCAATCAAATTATTTGATATCATTCGAATGCGACTTTTCATGAAATTATGTGTACAGATATTACTTCTATGTTAGTAAATGAAATGAAATTGTGCCGATAGATACAATTATAAATATTGTAGTAAATGTAGTAAAAATTATTACCACTATTTTTTTTTTTTTTTTTTTTTTTTTTATAAAATATATTTATTTACAGGTTAACGTACCGCTACCTAAACAGAGTTTTAGCTAATTTACTAAAAGCTACATTAATTCTAATATAGGATACTTATATATGTATGTATATATTATTAAATAACAATCATTTCGATTTCCACTATTGAAATAATTTCCTGTAATATTTTAGACTATGCCATAATATCCATAATATATTTTAGTTCATCTAAGCTTGGCTCTAGTTCTGAGAATATATTATTTTCCAGTGAATTCCTAATCCACGTGAATTCCTTTTCCTGCTTAACGGCCCAACTAGCCGCTTCCCATTCAGTTCCAGCAAGGACTAAGCGGAATTCCTTACTGATTGATTTCTTAGTGCAAGGCTAAAGAGTCATTCAAGGAACTGAATCAATGGATTCCATAGAAGTTCCATGAGACTCTACATCAAATCTGAGTGTTTTCCTTTGCCCTTCAGTTCAAGCTGAGATTAAAGAGAATTTCTCAATCGTTGTTTTACCAATTCAATGGTAAGGAAATCATTCAAGGAAATCTTCCATGGAACTCCATCAAAGGTTTTCATATCACTCATATCATATGAGTCATATGTGACTTTACCTCAGCTCTTTCCCTCTATCAACCCCTCACTATGGCTCACTCTCTCTCCCTCTCTCTGTCCCTCCCTCCCTCTCTCTCTCTCTGTCTCACAGCAAGAGCTGTCAGGCTAAACTAATTGCTTGGGACTTCGCTGCCAACAAGTTTTCGACACTCGTGAGTCGCTAGAGTATGACATTGCAGCAATCGCAATGTCGCGGTTCATTTACAACATGGTCGAGGTAGATGAGATGCCAGGGTACTGGAGTAGCTATAGCCTGACGCTGGGTAGCTCACACACACACACACACACACACACTCTTGCTCTTATGCCAGCCACAATAACCACGACACTCAATAAATCAGCAAGTGTAATTATTTTCGACGCCATTGGCGGCACTCGGAGCACGCGACTTAGCACAGCACACACACACACACACACACTCACACACACCAGCACAGTAAGCCGTAACAATCGAGGCAAAGTTTGTCAGCAAAGAGCAGCAAATGTTTGCAGCTGCCTCACGTGTGGCCCACGGCTCAAGGTTGCCACAGGGAGAGGCTGACCCGCTGACCCCCCACCCCTTGTCAGAAATTCCTCTGCCACTGCCACTGCCATTGCCCGGGGGCCCCATGGCATTTGTTAGCAATTAATTTGTTATATATATATTTTTTTTTTTGCCAACTTTTTGCTGCACTGCGTCGCTTCACATTTCGATGTATTTATTTATGATGACGTCGACGTGCGGAATTTCGTGGCACGATTACAGTATTTGCCTCAAATTGAGTTGACGCCAACGCTCACACACACCCACACCCACACACACACACATTGGCCCGCTCCTGCTGATAGGGTTGCTGCGATAAGCAAATTGGTTTCCGATTTAGTTAGCGCGTGCAGGCGACTGGGACACATTTAGCCCTGAAGGCGCAACCGAGCTGTCCCGAGCTTGGCTTGGCCACTCTGCATGTGTGTGTGTGTGCGTGTGTGTGTGTGTGTGAGCAGCAGCTGTCGCTAAATAAATTTTATGATGCGGATGCTGCTGCGGCCCGGATCCCGGCCCACAACATATGCTCGTTAGCCGTGCCGTGCGACGGCCGCCAAAACGCAATCAGCACTGGGCCAAGGCATTTGACAGTGGCAAAACTTTGAAGCGCCCGTCTCAAAAACACCTGACAACTGTCAATAAACCGAAGCCGCACGGGACGGCGAGGCGGCCAGGTGGGCAGGTGGGCAGCCACGTATCGCTATCGAGTCGAGTCGAGTCGAGTCGAGTCGAGCTGAGACGCACGTCCGACTGTCCACCATTGACAAGGGGCCAACATATTATTATTGTTGTTGTTGCTATTGTTACTAGTGTTGCTATTGCTGTTGTTCGTGTTGCTGTTGCTGTTGCTGTGAGTCAGCATGACATTTGATTATTTTGGTTTCTATTAGCCGCAAGTCCCAGGCGTCTTGCGTGCGAGCAATTGAAATTGATGTATTAAGTTTCGGCCAACATGGCGTATGAGTAATGCGACCAATGACAGCGCGCACTGCGATCAGCTCGCTCTCTCTCTCACTCTCACTCTCACTCACTCTCTGTATTTCATTGTTATCTGCGCTTCGCTCACCTCACTTCAATTCAATTTACGACGAGCCTGTGCAACGGCTCGTTGGTCTAGGGGTATGATTCTCGCTTCGGGTGCGAGAGGTCCCGGGTTCAACTCCCGGACGAGCCCAAAGAGAGTGAATGAGAGAGAGTGAGAGAGAGAGAGGGAGGGGCGGCGCGCGCCTTTCTCTATTTTACTCTTTTATTTTGTATTTTTGTATTTTATTATTTGTTGTTGTTGTTGTTGTTGTTGTTGTTGTTGCTGTTGCTCGCTTTTGCCATTTGGTGCTGGCGGGTGGCGAGCAAACGGATGCGCGACTAGCGCAAAATATATTTTTGTATATGGCGCAAAAACCGCTTATCGCTTCAAGTCTACTCAAGCGTCAACGGAGCGATTCATTCGAGAATTTCTTATGCTTCAATGAACCAGAAGTGTCGTCGTCGTTGTCGTCCACATTGATGCTATATATATATACATATATATACATACACATATATATATACACTATATGTATATATGTATATATTAATATACATATACATTGTGGCTTATATTAATATATATATATACATATATGCAGACGGTAAGCCTTGTCTGTCTATATACATATACATATACATGTATATACACATATATTTATGTATTTGCGTGTGCTTTACGCCATCTAGCCCCATCCGCCGTTGCCTTTATGCCTGACCCCTTTAACATTTTGCAATCTTTATTTGCTTGAGCTATTGTCGCGCTTTCTGTTGTTCGTCTTTTCGCTGAACAAAGCCAAATCGCACGCTCAATTTTCCACGCCGTCTGCAGCAGTTTAAAGCGCTAAAAGCAAGTCAAGCTTAAACACATTGCAGCCAAGCGAATCTCGCTGATCGTTAAAAGTGGCGCCATTTCACTCGCACCCATGCGGCTGGCCTGCTCTAATCTATGCCAAAAACCGCAGCAGCGATCAGCGAACAAGATAAGCAAATGGCAAATGTGTTGAATTTTGTTGTAATAAATTGGAGAGATAAGCAGCGTATATATGGATAAAGACTATATAAATATATGTAGATATAAGACGAGTATATATTGCAGATGTATGTATGTTGTTCTCTATATATGGTATATATGTGTAGTATTTAAATAGTATATATGAAGATAGATAGAGATATATTTACATAGAGAAATACTACATAATAAGTATATGATGTATTGATATATTTATATAGAGAAATAGTATATAAATATATATCTATAAATATGTATACATAACAAAAAATTAGTAATAAAAAAAAATAAAAAAAAATAAAAAAAAAAATTTGTATAGATATATAAATACAAGAAAAATGGTTTTTCTATGTCTCTCAGCCTCAAAATCAGAGTCTTAACTAAATGAGTGTTAATGATAATCAATAGTTGCAGGAATCAAGATTAAAAAGATAATCAGCATTTGAATGCTGGCTATAAGCTGAGGGAGCTTGAAGTGTTGGCTAGTTTTACTCCAAGCCAAGTGAAGTAAAGCGAGCAACAACAACAACAAACAAACAAATAAAGCAAATAAGTAAACAAATAAATAAATAAATAAGCAAATGGAAATATATATCATTTCTTATTGGCTGGACAGCACTTTAAAAGCAAAGACCTATTGCGGCAGGAGCACAATGGGTTGCATGGCGCTGGCTCTTTAAGCTCATAATTTATTCAAGCAAAACATTTTGCATCACAAAAGGGTGCAGCCAGCCACCGCTGACCACGCAAATGAGCAACAAGAGCGAGAGAGAGAGAGAGAGAGAGAGAGAGAGAGAGAGAGAGAGAGAGGGGGGAGTGAGAGTGGCCAGAGAAGGGCGCTGAGCAGCGAGTGGAAAGGCGCTGCGGAATTATGCAGCAGCAGCGCTGCCTCGGCACAAAGAAAGTGGCAGAAAATGAGCAGCGAACGGCGAAATTGGCAAACAAAGGCCAACACGATTGACGTGGCAGCTCGGAGCGGACCCCAGAGCGGCGCGGCGCGGCTCGGCGCGGCGTGGAGCGAAGCGGAGAGGGGTCCATGGTTTTAACGGGCTGGCGAAAAGGTCACAATTGCCGGACAATGGACATGCGGCGGGTTAGCCTTTGCAGGGATTGGCTTCAACAGCAACAGCAGCAGCAGCAGGAGCAGGAGCAGGAGTAGGACTAGCAGCCGCAGCAAAGAACTAAACTGAGCGTAGCCCTGCGAAAGGCTAAGCCCTGCTTCAAGAGAATATTTTGTTTTGTTTTCAGTTTCAGGTTTGTTTTCTGCTCCTTTTTTTGTAGTCGGTGAAACAAGCTGCTCGGATCGAGCCATCTAATCAATGCTGCCGCCATTTTGCAGTGTGCCAAGGTGGCACGCCCAGTGCGCCTCCGCCTCCGCCCGTGCCTGTGCCTGTGCCTGTGCCTTGGTAGACAATGGAAAATATCTTTCATTAACTAATTAGCTTACTTTTTCATCTAGCTGCCGCAGTCCATCCCCGCTCAGCGCTCGCCCCGTGCTCAGCCCTCTGTCGCCTGGGCGGCTGTTGCGCTTTTGTTTAGCAGCGTCCCACGCCACAGCCTCCAGCCACAACACCAGCACACACACACACACACACACAGAGAGAGAGGGAGAGGGAGAGGGAGAGGACAGCAGCTGAAAGGATAACGTGTAAAATACATCTACTAATACAGTTTTTGCTTTGGCGCTGCCTTTACTTTTGCTCTTCCTTGTCTTTGTTATTTTACGCTTTACAATTCTTTTGGGCATGGCAGCCAAATTTGTTCAGCAAACGTTGGCTCAGCCGAGTCCTGCGCCGTCTGCCGTCTACCG